CGTAGAATCGGCCGGTCGTATGTCGTCCTACTTTCTTTTATTTGTAAGAAGATAGTGGATAATTACTAACTAACTGATAGTGACTATTTCGTCTAAAAATAAAAAAAACAAAAAAAAAAACTTAACTCTCATTTAATAAAGTAATAGTGATTTTTTTCGATGTAACTGCTTGCTAATTATTAAATTACTCGTTAATGGAATGCATATTCAAATACACTAATGCCAAAGACTGTTAATTCTGGTCAAACGGCTGAAGTAATTATTAACTTACTATCTGAACAGTAAATTTTATAACACTAACACTTCTGTTCGTAAGGAAGTTAAAAAAGCAACTGAAAGACTGTTTAGCCTCCAATATTTACATCTTTGCTGCATTTTTTTTTCGTGGTGTTTTCCATCCCGTATAGAAACCCGCTGATGTCTTCAGATTGAAAGCTACTAATTAGTTAGTGGAAATACGAGTGCATAAATTTTAGTAATCATTCTGATGATTAATTGAAACTGAATAGCAGTTACGAGTTAGATTATTAATAATGGTTTCTGTAATTTTCTGTGGATGGTTTTGCATTTGGTATTTCTGATTTTGTAAATTAATCAACGTAAATCTCTTGTAATATTTTGATATGAAAATAACACTTTTTTTTCTTTCATTCTTTTCTCAACTTTCTCATTAGTACCTACATTTATTATAAAATCAAACTTCAATGAGAGAATTTTGTTGTTGCAGTTTTAGGAAAACCAAAATATTCTTATTCTACAAATATCCACTTTAATAATCAAAATTAAAATGTGACATAACGCAATCATAATTGTTTGTTGTTTTTTATTTGATATTCTTTTTTTTTGTCAAATTGTGTAATTGAATTTGATCATTTTAGCTCAATTTTTGGTAGTATAGAAAAGGAACTGATGACGAAAGTTTTCTGTCAACCGTCAACAAAAATTCGAACACCAAGATATTTTAAAATTCATAACCGTATTAATATTCAGAATAAGAATCATTTCGATATATACCGCCGTATTTTTACTTCATTTGGCCTAACGAATAAGAATTGACTAACTTCTGCATACAAATGTTTTCATGTAGAAGAATTCATAGCTTAGACTAACCTGTCGCATTACCTTGTTTTATAAGGTAATCCTGTGGTGTTCAAAGTTCAAGTGGATTTCGCTAATTATCGGCTTTTATCAGTATCGAAAGTGACCCAATACATGTTTTGTTTCAAGATGTAAATTTTCCACCGGGAAATTCCATAATTTTTTTTTCAACGCGGATAGAGAAATCTCTACGAGCTGCTCCACTCTTGCAAGTCTAAAAAAAAGAATTAAACAGTTAAAATATTTTTAACAGCAGGTGGAGCTACCTAGATTTTAAGGCTTAATTTATCCAAAAAGTTTAATACTACGTAGGCGTATAAACAAATATCTATAAACGTATGTACCTATAAAGAATATAACAGGTTGAAAAATTGTTTTACTTCGGTAACCCGGATGATGTATTTATGTATTATAAAGTTTTATACTATTTAAATACTTGTACATGGCCAGGTAGTTGGGGCGCTTGACTCGCAATCTGAGAGTCGCGGGTTCGAAACCCCGTCCCACCAAACATGCTCGCCCTTCCAGCTGTGGGGGTGTCATAATGTGACGGTCAATCCCACTATTCGTTGGTAAAAACTTTGCACAAAATTCAAAAGATAGCTGTAAAAGGAATACTTATTAATCACGATTGTCAAAAATTAATTTTCACCTAATCTAATGTAGATCTTCACAAGTGATATTTATACTGTCTTTGTTACTATAACTAATCTTTATGCTGTTATTCGTGATTAGGGGAAGGTAATGTTCCTGCACTTGAAAGTAGAAAGAATATCAGCTGACTATGTACTCTGAAGATCAAAATTAATAACATAAATTATTTTATTTCCATGGCACAGCTTGACAAAAAAAAAAAAAACAACAACTTGAATGCTTCACTGTAGAGTTTCTGGTAAATACCTCATCTATACAAACTTACAGTGGCACATTTATGAAGCTAAGTTAACCATGGAAGAGTTGGTACAGGTGTTCAGAATGATTAGCGTCTCTACTTTTCACGCATAAATTGATGACCACGCAAAAAATATTTTACTCCTGTTGTATCTTAACGGTTGTCACATTGCCTTGATAGTTTGACTTTGGAAACGGAAAACAGTTAACTTCTTAAAATACCTACTCAACATTTTAGTAGCCTTTTATCTGAACCCTTTTACCATTTAATTTTATTGTTTCTAGTATTTCTAAGAACTTGTGAGTAAAAGTAAAGAATAATCCAGGGGCCTTTTGAAAGCTCTATACTAGGGATGATAAAACTGTGCCATTTCGTTAGTTTAAGCTTGAAGTTCTGACGATTGTAGATTAGCTGAATGAAAAGCACGTTCGCCCCTAATCTCAGATACAGCTATTACTGGAAAACTGACAACATTAATTGTATAATGAATGTTGTGCTGAAAATGGGTGTCTTGTGTGACTGGTGAATTATAGTTGTTTATATACGAATTCTTTTTAAGATCATACACCTTAAATTCCGTCATTGCATTTGGTTTTTACGCTTCGTAGTTTAATAGTCTTTACACGTCCCGCCGTATAGACTAAAATTTAGTTTCTTTGTTGCTTTACAGAACGGCTAATCATTTTTTTTTTTCCTGTTGCTGTTAGTTATGATGATTTTTGTTTTTACCCAAGTCACAGGCGAGCCGGTTGGAAATGGACAGTGGATCGGTCTGGTGTAGCCAGTCGTTGGACGTGGCTGCAGGCTCAGGTTTCAGATCTGGAGTACAAAATTCGGCAGCAGGGAGAGCTACATCGAAAGCTGCGGGCAGCGAAGGGATGCTTTTCTCTTGGTGTGCCAGGCTGCCCTATTGGAAATGATAATGTGACTAATAAAAACGCAAGTCGGTCTGGCAGAAAACTAACGCCTATCGAAGTGAAAATCGCCAACATAGAAAGGCGAAACGAGTTGACGGCATATGTAACTGGACTTGAAAAAAGTTCGGAGAACAGTACCATTGAGGTGGCTAAAAAACGCGGGACTTCAAGCTTCGAGAATAAGCAAGTCAACGGCTTTGTGGATTCGTCAGTAATGACAAAAAACAAAAGTGATTCTGGAGCGCCTGTTCCATTGATTTCTTGTCCCAACTCTAGTCCACTTCATCCTCCTTTCGTTTTAACGCCTGTTATTCCATTTTCTCAGTTCAGAAATGCTAGCGATTCTAAGACTAAAAAGGAAACTCCAAGTTTCGTGGGTAGCACGTGCCAAGCTAGCCGGACACGACCGCTTATGAACTTCAACAAGAGGAAGATTTTTAAAATCTCAGATCTACACCAGACGAGTCGTAAGGCATCCAGGTTATCATCGGTAAGATGTACTTGTAGTTGCCAGCGAGAGATGTTGCCGTGTATTGTGTGCGGAGGCCGTTTTAATAACACTCAGTCGTTTGATCCAGAAACAACGCCCGTCTCTGAACGTATAGCCCTCCTGGACCCATCATTCCACCAAGTTCTTTCCTTTCCACAAGGTAGGATGTTTTACTGGTTTTAATTGTGAAATGTATGCTGTTGTAGTGATATCCAAAGAACTAATTTAAAGCCTCTGTACCTTTTATAAGGGTCTTGTCGTATTTTGGTAAAGTGGTGATAAACCAACAGAACAAAAGACTGAACTTTATATAACACGCCATACTTTCATTACTTTCAGCTGATAAAAATAAAGCTGAATAGTTGGCCCTTTGCCAATGTTTCTGAACTTGCTAATGTTTTGACGTTGTGTAGTTACATGAATCGCACATTTAAGAGATTTTATTTCTGTATTTATTATTTTCAATGTTTTTTAACTGTTTTATATATCGAAGTGGTAGTGGTGGTCTGTTGTATAAATTATTGGAGTGATACAAAGGAGTTTTAAGTAAAAATTGGAAAAGTAATAGATATGGTAAATAAACGTTAACTACACGACGAGATATGCTGGTAACATTAAATAAAAAATGATTAAATTAACTCTGAACAAAAAAAATACTTCGAGAGCTTTGCATAGTATTAATTTGTGGTGTAGAACATCTAGATGTCACTTCAAAACAATTTATAACATTTGATAATCCTTTCTATCGTAACTTACATGTTTTCTTTATAAAGCCAAATAGGCACGCTAAGCTTTAACGATTATTCATCTACTTTAATACTTGAAATTGGCTTGTGAGCGTGCGTTACTACAAGTTCGATACTATAAGATAATCGGTACTGTAATACACGGTGTGATAGTGTTTGTAGATTAGTTGAGAAGATTACAATATAGTAGTTAACATTCGTAATGAGCCTTATAAATGTCGAATTGAATAATTTTAAAATGTTTTTCGTAATGTCAGAATGTACTTTAGACTTCGTATGTATGCGTTTTCAAAATTATTTTACTGTTTACATCTTAGTTTTGAAATGCTCCTTCAGTACAGAAATGACGTTAGTTTCTGTTCGACTTCATTTAACAAAATCAAAAAAGCTCCTCGCTGAAATGGAGTAATGTACACTTCTTTAAAACTCATTATTGAACATGAAGTTTAAAATTTATTTTGTTTTCCTATTGTTAGATCGACACAGATTTACAGAGAAAAATAAAAACTGTAAATTTCAAAGGTGTCTATATTTAAGATTGCACCATTAACGACAAAGACATTAGTTTTTTAGGAATGCAAGTTTAGTGAAAAGCTTTACTTTGTTTACACTAAAAAATAGGAGAAAATGTATTTGTAGTTGAAACGGATCTATTTTTTTATTATATATTGGCAGTTTTATAACATTGATTTCAGTTATGAGTCCGCATGTACTCAACGTGGATTATCATACCTTTACATGATGTTGAACCTGTACATCTAAACTGAAAGTGTTCATCCACACGCACACAAGTGTGCCTAAAAACGTGGCGAGTTGTGACGAAATCGAGTTGTATGTAGTGTGTCAGCAAATACTGATAAAAAAAAATTTAATACCATGTAAAACATCTTACTTTGAGTCATCACTGTTTGTATCGTTTCTAAGTAGTAACTTATTCTATATTCCAAAAATGTGATAACATAAAATTTATTGAAAATTAAAATCAGCGGATAAATTGTTATGAATTTTACCTTCAGTCTTGTGTGTACATAAACAGGGTTAGTGTTTTATAGAATACTTGTGTAAGTGGGCCAGAAAGAAATGTTCTGTATATTGAAGATAAATAAATTTTAGAAAGGTTCAGAGCAGTGGAGTTTGGGGCTACACAGTATTTTTAGAAATATAGATGTAATTTTGGACGTTGAAGAATTAGCATGAAGGAGTAAATAAAAACCCATATACCTCGATGGTGTTTAAGAGGCTAAAGACTCGTAGCTAACGTAAAAATTCAGATTGGCGCCAACAGAGGGTGCGAGGGTTTGTTTCGGTTTCCAAAGTTTTCATGCTGAGAACGAACTTACTCACTTAGAAGGGAGTATTCTTAGCTAGGGGGAAGGAAGCATGATTTAGGGACATATTAAATTCATACAAAATAAACTGCTGTGTGGAACTTGTAAAATTATTTAAACGTTACTTACAAGTATATTATAGTTCTTGAAAGCATTAATTTTTGTTTATTATTGAAATCAAAAACTAAATAAGCCTGCTTATGGTTTTTTGACCGACATACTTGGGTAAATCTGATGTGATTAACCAAATAACCTTGTTTTACTTATCTATCCATACTGAGTGCATTTTGAAACACCTTCTAAAAATGTTTGTTCAAGAATCGTACGTTGTTTACTTGTCTACCATTTATCGATTTTTTTCCCTCTCTCCTCTTTAAGAAATAAAACTTAAGAAGATATTATGAAGTTTATAAGAACTCGAAACCCCAAACTCCCTTGTTATTGTATTATTTTCGTCATACGTGACGAAGCAAGAACTAACTGTTCGCGCATTCATCGAGTATTGACTTTTGATAAATGACAAGGGTTTTTTAACTACTTACTAGGCTGTTTGCACGAGCAATCCGAGCTTTGTTCTCAACCGTTCAAAGTTTTATCTTTCGTGACGTGTATCTAAATGATAACTTTGATGTATTTATATGTTAAGGGAGGTTAGGGCACGGGAGACATGACCCGTGTGATGGTGGTTTTAGTCTGTGAATCAATGAGCAGTGAAACTTGGCCGTCATCTTTTCTTGAAAATGAATACTTTGAAATTTTATATATGCTTTGTCAGCATTGCTATATAATTTGAATGTGTAGATACATAACATAAAGGTTTACTATGACAATAGTGGCAGGTCCCATAAGGTAACTACACTTTTAAAATAAGTATACCTAAATTTCGTAAAGGTGATCTTTTCTTACTATTACTAAAAAAAGTTCTCAGCAAAGTATATTTGTGTTCAAAAATGTGTAATATTGGTTAACTTGTGTTTCCCAAATTTAATTTCTTCAAAATCGTCTCATTTAAATTATCATGGTCGCTGTACGTACTTAAAAATGTAATTCAAAGAAAGCATGTATTTGAGGCATGAGATGACTCTACACTTTTTTTATGGTCACAACGTTTCGTGTTGGATAAAATATTCTCTACCTATTAAAAACAAAAAGCAACTGCATAAATGTGGGAAAATTTAACGAATCATGGGACTCCCTATGCAACTCGCTTTCCTTACTTTTTGAAGCTCCTACTCTTCCTTATTTTTAGGCATAATTCCTATTTTTCCAAATTTTTAACAGCATCTTTGGTTTAGCTCAACATGTAAATACATAACGTATCGAAAAACGCACAACTAATGGCAGATATTTCTATGAAAATTAATTATTTAAAAGATATATATGTAATTAATCATCGGGGTGCTCGAAGATAGAGCAGTCTTCCTTCGCCCCACTCGAGGATTAGGAAATGATATGATCTTGGTTGTGAAATTAAAAACTAAAGTGAATAGGTTGGTTGTATAGGGATGTCATCAGAAAAGGATTTTTTGCAAGATGAGTAAATTGTCTTTGCTTTCTTGTGATTTTAGTGTAAACATGACCATTATTCATGAGGGACGACCAAGTGCTCCTATATTTAGCTCGATACATCTTGAGTTTTCAAAATTAAAGCATGTGCACCAGCTTTTGCTAAATTGCGCTTTGTGGTTACTGTTTGCTTAAGATTTAGCTGCACGTTTGATTTTTGTGTCTTTTCAGTCATATCCTGAAATAACTATGGTAGTTTCAATAGACATTAATTTAATGCTAATCTAACATAAATGCACTTGGTTTGGTGTTCTATTACTTGTACAGTTTGCGTGTCCATGGCAGTGGTGCTTGAAACAGACTCTTTAATAACAAGCTCCATATTTTTAGATTAATGTAGGAAAGTAAAATGTACAAAAAACACGATTCTGCTACCAGTGGTTAACTTGTGTAGACAATAATGGTCGTGAACTGTATCAGCTATTACCAAATGATCAATTTCACTGCTTCTCTAATATTTGTCGGAAGACAGTAGCTTGTGATAATAGTGGCAAACAGCAACTCTTGAAAAATTAACAGGGAGATAAACACAAACTGGCTGAGACGAAAGTTCTAGTCGGCGAAAACATTTCGGTGCGTTTTTTTTTCTTTTTCTTAATGGCTATGATAAAGTAGGTAATTGTGTAAAAGCGCCCCGATAATTCCCCTCCAAAATTTAAATTATCCTGACTAAAGGCCATACTTTTCCTGATGGGCCTGTTTGAAGGCTTGGAATAACTAAGCGGATACAGTACTTTTTTGTTTGTTTGGGCATTTAGATCGTTTCTCTTAGGGTAAGTCTACTGGGATACGAGGGAACTTTCTCGATGGATTGGCCTATCAGAATAGGTTTACACCAGTCGCCTCATGACTAAGTAAAATACCTAAATGGTTTTCTGCGCAGATTATGAAAGTCGAAAAGCCTACCATTGGAGAATAAATAATTTTCAAATTAAGCCACAAAATTAGTAATAAAAACACCATTTTTAAACATTACTTTGTAAAATACCTGGCACAAATATTCAAAGATGAAGGTTACTAATGGTTTTGTTTCACTTCTTATTCGTTTTGTAATATGGGCGCATCGCGCATTTTCTTTCACGTGACCTCCTTCAGCACCCAGATCCGCCACTGGGTGAATTCTTAATATTTATACCCCTGTAGCATCTCCGAATTATTAAACAGCATATTGCCATTGATTTAAAAGTACTTAATAAGATTTGTTGACCGGTTAATAATTCTGTATTCTTGCAAATGCGTCGTTTACATTCCAAACGCCCCCCTCTTCTTATGGAGTGAAATATCAAGGTGATTAGTAATAGTTTGTAGGTTGTTTTTTGCTACATCATCATTAGGGTTCTTCTTGAATTTATCACAAGATAAATGGTTACCCATATTTAGATATTTTTCTTCAGGTGAAAGTGACTTCGCGACGCAATTAAATTCAATGTACAAGTATCTCTGCTGTAATCTGTTTGAAGAAACCAGCCATGAAATATCGACTTTATTTCGTTTTTGATGATGCACAGTTAAATACAGGG